TGTGTGTGTGTGTGTGTGTGTGTGTGTGTGTGTGTTGGAAGAGTTGATCAACAGATAATTGATGGACTGAATAAAACGAGTAGTCACAATAGACTCTGGATGTTTTTGAACCTCCTTTTAGGAGGTTATGTTTTCAGCTAAATGTTTTTATATTAGTCACCAGCGTTACACAAAAACTACTGGACGCAGTACCATGAAACTTGGTGGAAGGATGCGGTATGAGTAGGGGAAGAACCCATTCAATTCTGGTGCCGGACAAAGGGACGTTTTTGGACTTTTTCAACAATTTGCAAAAGAAAAATTAATGAATTTCAATGGGAAAAAAATTGGTGTTTTGAGGAAACTGATATCTATGAGCGAATGAAATTTGTTGCAGCTTGATTGAATTTAAGGGGACTGTTGGGTGGTGTAATAAGTGCAGCCCTAGTGTAATGTATGCCACACTTAAACATGACTCCTTCTACTTCACTTTCTTTTTGGAGCTTCATTCTCCATCTCTTAACTTATCAATCCTCCTTTTGTTTTTTACTTCCCTTTTTATTAGATAAGAGGATTTGCTCTCCTCCATTCATGGTCCTGAACTCTGAGTGCAGCCCAGATGTGCTGGAGCAGATCAGGAGACAAGGACTCACATTCCCCTTCAGTGAGTATAACTACCTCATATTATAGATACTGAGGACTCCTTACAAACTGTTAGGACTCGTATTGTGATCTTAAATGCTAATAATACAGATACTACAGAATTATTGATACCACTTTTAACACAAGGCCTTAGTGTCATTACCCTTCCATTACTGTTTTGTCTTGCTTCAAGTTAGTTTACCTTGTTAAGTCTCTCTTTGTCTCTCCTCGCCTTCATTCCCTCCTCAGTTTGCAAAACACGGGTGGCTCATGGCACCAACTCCCACGAGGTAAGAGGCCACAGGGCTTACAGGTCATTCACACCCTCCACAGTTTGCTTTGTGTAAGCAGTAACACTCCTGTCCTGTCACAAGATCATCATTTAGCTCCAGTTCAAACAACGCACATCAGATAAAAGTGCTGTACCTCATGTATTTCAGCTGAAATCAATACGCTTGTCAGGCTGGACAAACACTCTGCATTCCTCCATATTCACAGCATTGAATTTAGTTAGATTTTAACCAGACTTGTGTGTCAGTGGTGTTTTTTTTTTTTTAATATATCATTCACCGTGTGTCCTCCTGTACATAGATGGCCATTATCTTCAGTGAAGAGGACCTGAAGGACGTGAAGCCTCCGTGTGTGATCCAGAGCTTCATCAACCACAACGCAGTGCTCTACAAGGTTTTTGTGGTGGGCGACTCCTACTCCGTGGTGGAGAGACCTTCGCTGAAGAACTTCCCTGCTGGTCCAGCAGGTGAGGAGACAGGACACAGAGTGGCAGAAGAAGAGACGGGTAGGGAAGTCCAAGGACCGCCAACAGCCGCGCAGGCCCGACTGCACAAGTTGCACAGCCTCGTCAAATTACCCAATAAAAGATCTAATAAAAGGCTTTATAGTCCCTGTGATTGGACTTCTTCGCCCTTTTACGGGGTGCAGCAGAGTGCAATTAATGTTTGCCCTATTCGTTCCTGCTGTAGAAAATATACACGCTGCGTTTTTCTTCATACACGTCATGACCCTTACCCGTGATGTGACTTTGAGTACAGGGTTGTCCCTGACACAGATGAAGGTGTATGATAAAAGCAGAGGCCCTCATGCAAACTAGTTTCACCATCAGTGCAGTCGTCTACTTTGTCTAGAGAACAGTTGCTTTCGTTGTGGAATGCTGAGTGGCACGGCAGAAAAGCTCGGCTCTCGTCCAACACATAGCAACATACCTCAGCCACACATCTGCAGAGTTCAGATCATTGTGCTCTGCAGTCTTGAGCTGTACATTGTGTCTTGTATGTGGAAAGTGGATGGACGAGTGGGGTGTGGCAAAAAGAGATGCAGCGGCACTTGGTTGGAAAGAATTTGACAATAAAGGTGTGAGAGCATTAACTGGTGTTTTGTTAATACATTCTAGGAATGAAAGACTCCATCTGCCTCACCCTTCATTACTGCGAGCCGAGGGGCGTATTTATTTGAACAGTGATGGGATTTACTTGTTCCCTCCGTTCCCCCACCCGTCATCTGCCCCCATAACGTTCTCTAATGTTAATCATTACAGCGATAACAAAGAAAAAAGGTGCCATAAATTAAGCAATCCATCCTGTTACATTTATCACTGCTTCAAAGAAACCCCCACCCCCCGTCTGACGCCAACAGCTAACATGTTGTTCTGAGGTGATAGAATTATGACTGAAAGGTTTAAAGGTCCAGAGGCTTCACCCCAGGTTGCTTCAAGTTTCAGTCTCTTTACACTCTGTGTCAAAATCAGTAAATCAAGACGTTAATTCAGGCCTGATCGCTATGTAACCTACTCAGCTTTGCTGCCACCTAGTGCCTCAGATGGGAAATATCACATGCATGTGAAGTTGCTGTAAATTTCTGCTTAACTTTTTTTCCGTCTCTTTCGGTTTCAGACAGGAAAGCCATTTTCTTCAACAGCCACAATGTTTCCAAGCCAGAGTCGTCCTCAGACTTGAACTCAGTACGTCTAAAAAATATCACTGACTGTAACCCGACGTAATTTAAAAATGATTTTTAACCGATATGATTAAATATTGTTCCCTTTTCTCAGAGAGAGAATGTTGAGGGAGTGTCTCAGCCACCCAGTGATGATGTCATCAGAGAGCTATCCAGGTCCTTGCGGGAGGCACTGGGCGTGTCCCTATTCGGCATCGACGTCATCATCAACAACCAGACAGGCCAACACGCCGTCATTGACATCAATGCATTCCCTGGTATGTGCAGCCTCTCTTCCACAGAGCCGGTTTGTATTCGGTGAAGTCAACTTGTTCATGTTATCGGCACATTAAGGAGAACGTGAGCTCCAGTTCTGTGGTGACCAGGTTCTCACGTGTCGCTCGCAGCGTTGCTGTCTGAGGTGGCAGTGATGTCATTTTCTGTGTGCAGCCAGTTGTGTTGAAATAAATCCATCTCCTTTGTGATCCTGACCCATTTACTGCATCAGCTCTAAATGTGCCTCAGGTTTGTGTTAACATCAAAGACTGTAAATAAAGAGTCTCTCCGCTCCAGGAATGAAGCAAAAATATCCCAGATACAAACGCTGCTATTTTGCTGTGATGAATCTCTGGAGTCAACGTCTGCACAGTTGCAATTAGGGGATGGAGGGTTGAGGTCTTCTGGTTCAATAGGGTGAATACACGAGTCAAGTCTGTTTGTCAGGGTTTGGATTACATTTTTGAAATGATCAGGTTCAGGTGGAGTTCAGTCACATTGGCTGAGCTAGTTTAATTCTTTTAGTTTTTACGCTGCATGTACCTGTAATCAGGGAATTAATTCAAACTTCTTGGGTTAGTGGGTTAATGAGCACTACAACAAACACCAGTGTGATAGGATCGTCCTAAAATGGCAGATAGTAAAATGTATGTAACACGTTCTTTTACTTTTAGTTTGGGCCATATTCCATCCTCACCTGTAGGGGGCAGGATTTATAATATGTTTGTGATGTATATGTTTCCAGGTTATGAGGGCGTCCCAGAGTTTTTCAGTCACCTCCTGAACCACATCAGCAGCGTGCTCCAGAGCCACAACCCTGACTTCACCCCTGCCAGCGAGCAGCCCAAAGGCCTGCCAGTGAGCACCACGGTACCCAGCGCTGTCCCGCCCGCCCCGGGCTGCTGCAGCATGCTGGGTAAAGACGCCGGCGGAAGCCCCTGGATCGTGGAGGGCGACGGGGGCCTGAAGGGCCCGCGTCAGAGACTGGGCTGCAACTCGGCTATGTCCCCCAACTTCCAGCAGCACTGTGTCTCCACGATAGCTACCAAGGCTTCCTCTCAGTGACTGATCCCCCAGCCCCCCGCTCCGTTTGACCCCTGAACA